AGAGAGAGAGAGAGAGAGAGAGAGAGAGAGAGAGAGAGAGAGAGAGAGACCAGAGAACGACCTAAGAAATAGAGATTGGGCTGGGCGGGAAGGGAGGCAGGGGAAGGGCCAGTACCCAGTACCGCAAGCCCGAGGGCGCGCGCGGCGACTCACCCAGCATTTTCACGGTTTGCTTGTGGTTCTGGTCCCGGAGCGAGGAGCCCACCGCCGCATCGCCGCGCCTCCTTCGCCACAGCTTCCTGCCGATGAGGCTGTAGAGGACAGTGAGGCAGAAGACAGGCAGGAAGAAGAAGACGCTGGACACCCACACCATGACCGTGAGCAGCCCGGAGCGCACCGCGAACTCCGTGGGGCGGCACTCGTTGGTGTCCCGAGGGTCGGTGCCATTCTCGTGCTCCACCCCGACGAGCACAAAGATGGGCCCGGCGCTGCAGAAGGCCACGGCCCAGATGACCAGAATGACCAGCTTCACCCGGCCCTTGGTGACCACCACCTTGGCCCGCAGCGGGAAGCAGATGGCGAAGTAGCGCTCCACGCTCAGCGCGGTGATGGTGAGCACCGAGGCGTAGGTGCAGCTCTCGCTGACGAACTGGAAGAGTTTGCAGAGCAGGTCGCCGAAGTTCCAGGGGCGGTACTGCCAGAGGCGGACGAGGTCGAGGGGCATGCAGAGGAAGATGAGCAGGTCGGAGAAGGCCATGCTGGACAGGTAGAGGTTGGTGGTCGTGCGCAACTCGCGAAAGCGCGACACCACCAGCATGGTGAGCAGGTTGCCCGCGACGCCCACCACGAAGAGGGCCACGCAGGTGGCTGTGACGCCCGCCAGCAGCGGCGCGGGGAAGAGCGGCAGCAGCTCGGCGGCCAGGGAGTCGTTGTTGGCGGGAACGTCCCAGTCGGGGTCGGCCAGCGTGCTGTTGGGCTCCGGCTCCTCGCTGGGCGTAGCGTTCCACATGCTGCGGGCTCAGCTGGGCGGGCTCCGAGGCGCCACCGCGCTGGACAGAGCTGATCCCTGGATGTGGTTCCCTTGGGAGCTGGACAGTGCGAGGAAAGAGTGGCGCGGGAGGGCAGGGAGGATGGTGAAGAAGAAGGGAGAAGTGTGAGGAGAAGCCCAGGGAGAAGGTGCGATGAGAGGGAGGGAGAGAGAGGGAGAGAAGGAGAGGGAGGGAGAAAGAGGGAGATCCACTGCTCTCTCTGGCGCCGCCCCTTTCCGCCACCCTCTTCTCCACATTCCCTTTCCCCATCTGCCTCCGACCGCGCCTCACAGGCCTACCTGTCACCGGAGCTGCCCTGCCTGACATTCACGATGCTGCCCCAGCAACCTGTGGCACTTACGGAAGCGTCCGCCTCGTGGGTTCCGCAGAGGGAGGCGCTGTGAAGCCGGCGCTCCAGAAGCCCTCTCCGGAGCCCAGGGCGTTAGCGTGGCCGGGAAGAACAGCTCACTCCAGGAACGGGGTGGGCAGGGGACGCTGGTGGAGGAGTGGAGGATGCCTTCCAGTACTCGGGCCCGGTGTCCTTCAAGAAGGGTTAGGGGTGGCGGTGAACCTGGTGGAGAGAAAAAGTGAGCGAGCGTGCCCACCTCGATGAACGAGGAGGAGGGAGGAGAGAGAGGGAGGGAGGGGGGAGAGACAGAGCGGGGGAGACAGGTCCGTACCGGGAACAGCCTCACTCAGGGTGGAACGCACTGTCTTGCTGAGAGAAGTAAGTTAAGAGACCCTAGGTTCCACAGTGAGTTGTATTAGGGCCTGGGAGACCAGAGTTGAGAAGCCCAAGCAGTTTGGACTTCTGAGTGCATAGGGGTAAGAAGTATGAATAATCCTGCCTTAAATCCCAGTCCTTTGTAGCTCCTCCAACTTGACCTTGGCAGGGCGGGCTATACGGGAGCTTTCCTCTGACTGATGTAAATGGCGGGGGGCAGAGAAAGGCAGGGAACCTGAATGAGAGAAGGATGTAGCTGACCAGTGGGGAGGAGCAGAGGCTTCAAGGAGGACACACGTCGAGGGCGCTCATTCTCTCTCTTTTTCTTTCTCGATTAAGATAGACCAGCTATTTAGTTACTGTGTTCCCTTGGGCAAGCTCTTCTACCTTCTGAGCTGTAGTTTTTTCTCTGAATTCCCAGAATGCTGTGAGGACCACTTCGAGTGAATTTCAAGGGTCGGGGACACACTAGGCACTTTTACTAATTTACATTTACTAGTGAATACTCGCTGCCTTGCTGTCATTAAGGTTGCTGCTGAGAGGCAGCAGCTGCAGGAGGTGGAAAGGAGTGGGAGGCCACCCCTACACTCACAAGATGAGTCCCCTGTGCACAGCTTGTGACTACATCTACTACCTAAGACCAAGAGAACTCACAAAACCTGGCCAGACCCATTGGGCAGCCGCGGGGCTGGGGGTGGGGGATCAGCACCACGGCTAGCGCCCAGCTCCTGGGGCGCAGCACCGCTGGCGAGCAGCTGTCCCCGTCAGCACCTTTTCCCAGGCTTTCTCTTACCACAAATCAGTGCTTTACCACACCTATCCGCGTTCATCCGCATTCATAAGAATCCATTTACCCACCGTGTGTGAGAGTGTGTACGTACTGGAGTGCGTATGTGACAGATGGCTTACAAGATTTCTTCTGCTACCTACGTTGTTAATCCTTCACCGTCCATAAGACCCAAGACTGGTTTTGTGCACAAGTCCATAAAAGATTCCACTCAGTGAGAGACTGCATGGGAGAAGGTTGATAAACAGTTTACTGGTGTGTACACTGTGTAGTGACTTGGCTGCACTGATGTTATAAACGTTGGACCAAATTGACTTTTTAAAAATTTTATGTCAAATCACTCTTTTTACATATTACAACTAAGACAAACTACCAATAACAAATTTTAAAAAATTAATAATTGAGTTTGCTAATCCCTTGCCTGTTACCAATAGGTTTATATATATGCACAAAGAGAAAATGCTAAAGGAAGTCATTGTCTAAGAACAAAATGCAGAAAGGGATTATGGGAATTAGTTTTATTATGTTCAATGCTGAGGCTCTGGCTGAGAGGTAGAAAAAGAAGAAAGAAAAACTACCAAAATTATGATAAAATTTTTACTGCAAATTTCTCTTAGTTCATTGCAAAAGAAGTTTTGTGCTAATATTAGTTTCTTTGTAAGAATCTTTTTTGTCGATGTCTTATACTCTGAGTAACTACTTTGAAGATAATGATATACAGTGAATTAACTATTGTTATTCTCTCATTGTATTGTTATGAAGTTTTGTTTTATTTTTCATAAAATTAAGAAAACCAAAATTTTCATGTTAACTAAAATTGCCAGCTACTTACCTGCACTCAACTATTTCCTAAAATATCAATAAATTTGCCTTGTGTGATCAAGAAGTAGAGATTACTACCGAATTTGATCTACTCATTCTCAATAAATAATATTTTAAATATATATAAAATTGTCCTTAAATATGTGTTTTGGGTGTTTTTTTTTTTGGTACCGGGGATCGAACTCAGGTCCTTGTGCTTGCGCATCAGGCAGGGAGACCACTGAGCTAAATCCCCAGTCCAAATATGTGATAAGGACTAGGAATAATAGATAAGTAAAACTCAGACACATCAAGTATTTATAAACTTATAGCGTGGAGAGAAAAATACAGTTAGACAAATAATTCTAGTACAGTTTTCATAGGCACATTTAAAGATACCTGTACAATGAGCTCTGCTGGAATAAAGAGAATTGAAGAACTACATAGAGATTATAGGGAAGGTTTCTCTGAGGAAGTGGCATTTGTGCTGGGTCTTAAAAACTCTGAGTTCTGTCAGAGGAAGCAAAACTTCCTCGATTGTTCAGAAAAGGGACTCAGAAGCACTTTGGAGTGAAAAAAAAAAGCTAATATGTCTTGTGCTCTAAATAGTGTAAGATGTATTGTTATGGACTCATAGATTGTTATATAGTCAATGCCTAACAATCAATTATGCTTTTTGTTTCTTTCTGATACTTACAGGATCCCATCTTTGGCCAAAGAGATCCCTTCAAGCTGGCTCCAGAATCCTTTAGACATAATTCAGATTTTGAGCATTTCCTTGTTTTGTGGCACAATGAGATGCCCGGATCTAATAAATTTCATCCTCTAAACCTAGATGGAAGCTATTATTTCAAGAATCTCTGATATCTGGGGAATTTAGAGACCTAAATTTGGGCAGTAGGGGTGGTTGTTATTGCTCCTGGAGCAAATGGATTAGGTGGAAAAAAGCTAGGATATATGTTTGCATTTTATTTGCTTTTTTAAATCATGAGATAATTTTGATGATACAGTAGACAAATCAGACACACTCTGAACAGATGGTAAAACCAACATCATCAATGTGATACAATATCACATAGTATTCCCTCTAATATTCAAATCCTTAATCTAATCACAGAGAAGCACCAGAAAACTCAAAATGAGAATTAGTCCATTTAAAAATTCCTCAGAATAAGTCAATGTTGTATAAGACAAAAAATAAAAAAGACTAAAAATGTGTCCCAAACTAAAGGGGACCAAAGAGACATGACAAATAAATAATATTTCCAGTCTTAGACTGGATCCTAATCTCCCAGAAGGATATTATTTTGTTGACATAATTAGAAAATAGATATAGATAATAGATTAGATATAAGTATTGATTCAGTGTCAAGTTTGATAACTGTGTGCTAGAGAATATTTTTATTTTTAAAAATACACTCAACCATGATTTATGCAAGTTATCATCCTCAATTATTTTGGGAAAATAATTGTAGGGATGGGTAGATAGAGTAAATGACAAAGCAAAGCAAATGACATGGGGAAAATTTTTAATAAAAGATTAATCTGGAAAAATGGTGAAATGATTTTCCTTTTACTATTCTTGTAACTTTTCTGTAAGTTTGAATTTCCAAATAAAAAGCCTGTCATAAATTTATATAAATACTTTCAGTTCAATTTCCAATAACTTATTTAACTTCTTTGTTTTTATACTGAAACTGAACATCTTTTTTAACAACATGAGCATAATTACTTCTCATACAATACACACTAAATTATTTCCAACTAATGACATCAGCTTTACCACTAACAATAAAATAGACAAATGAAGTTTGAGATTTTCTTGCCATTCTCTTCGGTTCTTACAATATATACTACTAAGTTTGTTCAACTTTTGTGATAAAAAATTACTTGAAATAATACCTTTTATATGTGACAATGTTACCAAGTTAGTATGTGGTTCATTAACTTGTTATTTTTGCTTGAAGAATTATTTTAGAATTTAATTTTGAATATAAAAAACATTTACATTGTTTGAAGACCTTTAAACAAAATATAGTTCTGAGTTTAAAACTAAACCAAAGTATACTCAGGAAAAAGTTACTCTCTTTTCATATTCCCAAGTACATACCATTTGAAAATTTTAGCTTCTCAGGAAAGTTGCAGGATAGAAAATCAACATACAAAAATGTAGTATTTTCCTATGCCAACAATGAACTTGCTGAAAGAGAATCAAGAAAGCAATTCCATCTATAATAGCTATAAATAAGGAATAAATTTAACCAAGAAAGTAGAAGAACTCTACAATGGAAATTATAAAACATTGATGAAAGAAATTATAGAGGATACACACAAAATTGAAACATAGGCCATGTTTGTGGATTTGAAAAACTGATATTGTAAAAATGACCATACTACCCAAAATGATCAATACACAATCCATTAGAAAAATGGACAAAAGTCCACTCTGGTGAAACTACACAGCACTCGGTAGTCATCCACATGCACATGACCACGAAGTCCTCATGCAGGGATTTTCTGCAGTATCCTTTACCTTCCCAAATAAACCCCAGTTCTCCCAGGAAAACATTTTAGGACAAACCATCTGGAGTGGTGGCTGTGAATGCTGCCAATTTGCAATTATCTTAGCACCAAATATATTGCCTACCCCCCCCCAAACTAAATCTATCTGTGGTTTAAAATGGGAAGTGCCACACTTCTCCTGCTGCTGTTTTCTGCTTTCCTTTTTGCATGAATATATTCCTATGTTGATATTCA